GCAGCTGCAGCTCCCACCAGCTGATGGACCTGCGCAAAGAGCAGCTGTAAACCACTCGTGAATTTCAGGAAGTGAAATTTAGGTTAAATTAAACTTCTCACTCTTTCGTGAGAATCAGACAAAAACAAAGAAATTTCTTGGTCAGGAAATCTTCCTGCAGAAACACCGACTGCTTAAATCAGACAAGAAGATTCATATCGTCCTAAACTATTAAACTTGTTGATTATTAATCGTTTTGCTACAACGCATCAGCTCAGAGTTGTAGAAAAAGTTTCTAATTGTTTGTCATTGTACAGAAAAGGATTAGAGCCACGGTGTAAAACTATTTATTTATTTTTTTAAACAGTCTTTTTAGATTTGTATATAATGATACAGAAAGTAGAACACAAAGAACATATGAACATAAATAAAAGAACATTTTTAAAAAATCTACACAGATACTGACACGTTTTCAACAAACATAAAGAAATTTATTTTTTCCCAATTTTTTACTTTTTTCCTCTGAATTCTGAGAAAAAACCTCTGAATTTAATTTTATATTATTTAATTATAATTATTTTATTTAATTTGCACAGTGGCCCTCATTCTCTTCCATCCATTTGTTACCTGATCTGTTTGTTGGTTTTAAATTCCATCCATCATCTTTACTCGCTTCTTCCATTTTGGGTCACGGGGTCACTGGTGCCCATACACAGCAGGGTGGAGGACACCTGGACATGTCTCCAGTCCATCACAGAGACACCTGGACAGGTCTCCAGTCCATCGCAGGGACACCTGGACATGTCTCCAGTCCATCACAGAGACACCTGGACATGTCTCCAGTCCATCACAGAGACACCTGGACATGTCTCCAGTCCATCACAGGGACACCTGGACATGTCTCCAGTCCATCACAGAGACACCTGGACAGGTCTCCAGTCCATCACAGGGACACCTGGACATGTCTCCAGTCCATCACAGAGAGTCCATCACTCTCCCACTCACACCTAGGGACAGTTTAGAGTGACCAGTCAGCCTAACATGCATGTTTTTGGTCTGTGGGAGGAAACCGGAGCACCCGGAGAAAACCCACGCATGCACGGAGAGAACATGCAAACTCCACCTGGAAAGGCTTTCGGCCGGTATTTGAACCAGCAACCCTCTCGCTGAGAGGCAACATCTCTACTAACTGAACCAACTCTAATAATGTAACAATAACAACTGTAATATTGAAGGATGGTATTTTTTATAAGTCATGCTTTGGGACGTCCGTCTGTGTTGCTGTCAGTTTGAGACTGGTACAACTGGGAAAAGAACAAATGCTAATTTTGTTTGGGTGTTTATTTTGCACTTACCCTTTAAAAACCTAGAACAACAACTCATCCTTGTTAGAGGGAGGCTCTGAGGGACACAGGTAGGATTTGTTGGCTGTTAACGCCATCATTAAAATTAGACCAGAAGGTTCCTGGAGAAACTTTGACAGGGACTGCCACGTGGCGGCCATTTTAAATTTATGTGTTGGGGTTCGTTCTCAGTTCATTTACTTCAGTTAGTTTCTGCTCAATATGGCAACAACAACAAAAAATCATTGACTTAAAATGTTTTTTCTTGTAAACCTTGGTGGCCATCTTGAATTTTTTATTTGAAATCAGTATTTATGGGGCATTGCTCTCAGCTGCCACCACACCAAATTTTAACATAATATCTCTAAAAAAATGGCTGATTTATAGTTTGTTTCAACGAGAAAAACTGCGTCTTTGTTTGCAAATTACGTCGCCACGGTAACTTGAAACGCCAATAAAAGTGTGCTAGTTCCCAAAAACCAAAATGATCATCGCTCTAACCGTAAACGGTGTTCTACATGTGTCAGAAAATAAGATAACGTGAACAAAAATTAAGTTTCAATTATTTAGACGATGCAAAATAATGTAAAACGGAACTGTGCATCCCAAAATGATGGTTAGTTTTGATAAAGAGTGCTTGATCTCACACGTACCTTAGCTTTGAGATCCAGAGGGATGCCGTCAGTGCTGCTGCTCGTGCTGGACATGTTGCACGTCTGAATGTTCACGCTGCTTGTTCTCGTTTTGCTTACCTGGATAAAGAATACCCAAGTTAGAAACAATGTTGTTGTCGCGACATCACACTAGATAAGAAGCGCTTGGCTTGCCGTTTTACCGTTAGCCACGCTAGCTAACGGTAGTTGATTCCTTTGCAGTTACTTGAAGCCTTTCCTGAAAACTAGGTTTTTTTTTTTTTTTCAAACTTTAAATGTGTCAGCTTACTATGACAGCTCATTAAATATCACCAGTAGGAGTGAATATTTGAACGTGTAGACCAGGGGTTCCCAAACTTTTCCATGCCATGGCCCCCCAAACAGCATTAGCTGCAAACTGCTACAAAATATGTAAAGAAACATCAACTTTTAGAATGTTTTTACTTTTATTCACTATAACCAATTAATTGAGCATAAAAATGTTATTAACTAAAATGTTTTAAACACCGTCTTATATTCCCACTGAAAAAAAAAAATATATTTTTTTCAACAAACTGTTGACCAGAAGAACAAAAAAGAAATCTAACTTCTCTCTCAAGCGTGTTTATCTGGAAATGACAGATACAGATTGTCCTAGTGGGCAATTATTATTATTATTATTATTATTATTATTATTATTATTAATAATGTTTTTTAATTTTGGCTTTTTTTATCTTCTTCTCTCCAGCTTTCTGCCCCCCACTGTTGTCCCCTGGCGGCCCCCCAGGGGGCTGCGGCCCCCACTTTAAAAACACTGGTCTAGACAAGAAAACATTTTAACTTCTAATAACACAAAGTGATCCAAAGTATACATTACATAGAAGTATACATTATCAAAGTATACATTTATTTACTTTTTTCAGTTTAATAAACAACATAAATCTGATTTCTTGAGACATTTAAGTTCATGAATTGTAAAATGTCAGAAGCATAACGTCTGTAAAAAGTTAATGTTTTCTTCTGGTGGCATTCTTCCAACTGACAAAACGCCGGCGCTGCAGACAGGGGTGGCAGTTTCATCACATTTACGTCAGAGAATTAAGCTCAGTACTTTTACATGGTTATGCTGGTTTTTCCTCTGAGCGATGTACACAATGTACCTGCAAGTGAGAAAAAAGAAACGCCATACGTCAACGTGTACAAACTGGGAGTTAACTGTGAGTTCACCGGAAACTTGCTGGTTTGGTTCACGCTTCAGCTTATTGGGAATTGTGACTAAGCTCTTTTTGTTGCTATGAACTGTAAGTTTACGTCATATTTATTATTCACAGTGTTACTCTGGGATATTAGCCGGCGTTTGAGCACGTCCTGTTTATATTTTCTGTAAAACAAAGAGTCGGACTGAAAGTGAAAGTATTCTAGCTGAACCTGTTCAGTCTTGATTTCCTGACAGATACTGTACATTTTACTGACACTGTGTTGAAATCATCAGCAGTGTGCACGTTTGAGTAAAAACCGGTTCAGTTGCTTCAACTCAAGGAAATGTTTCATCCTATTTTATTTATTTATTTATTTTTGTTGCTGTTGCAGCTTCTTCTTTTAAAAACTTTGAATCAAGATTAATCATAACTGTCATTTTTTAGTAGCACTTTTAAGAATTTTAGATAGTTGCATGATTTTTTTTTTAACCATTTTTTTTAAACCAGTAAAGAAGAGTGCAGCTTCAGTGGATATTTTGGATTTCATTGTTACGCAGATGATACACAGATGTATGTCCCTCTGAAGAAAAATGACTCTAACTCTCTGGCCCCTCTGTTTTCATGTCTGGAGGACATAAAAGCCTGGATGGCTGTGAACTTCTTAAAGTTCAATGAGGGAAAGACCGAGGTGATGAAGCTCCACTGAGACTCCCAGTGTAGATGTTGGTTCCTTGGCCCATTCCATCAGGCCAACTGTTACAAACCTGAGGGTCAAAATTGATGCTGGACTAAAATTAGAAACCCACATCAGAGCTGTTGTTAAAACTAGTTTTTTCCATCTGAGGCAGCTAAAGTGAAGTTGATTCTTTCTCAGCGGCATTTCGAAACATTTCACACCTTTGTGACCACTCGTCTGGACTTCTGTAACACTCTACACAGGAATCAGTGATTTGTCAGCTTCAGAGGGTACAGAATGTTGCTGCACGGCTTTTAACTGGCACATGAAGGTTTGACCACGTTTCTTACGTTTTAGCCTCCCTGCACTGGCTGCCCGTACATTTTAGGATTCATTTTAAAATTATTTATTTGCTTTTAAAGCTCTATCTGTCTGAGTTGTTACATCCGTACACACCCTCTCAATCCCTCAGGTCAGCTGATCAGCTGCTCCTGAGTGTGCCGAAGACAAATCGTAAGCTCAGAGGAGACCGTGCTTTTGCTGTGGCAGCTCCTAAACTGTGGAACGTCGGACTCTTCCCTGTCTGTTTTTAAAAATCCCTTCTTAAAACCACCTCTTCTCCCTGGCCTTTGATACCATCTGACATGTTGACTTTTAATTATTTTAATTGCTTTTTATTATCTGACTGTATTGTTTTATTATGAGTACTGTACAGCACTTTGGTCCTGTGGGTGTTTAAAGTGCTCTATAAATAAAGATGGTATGGTTTGGTTTGGTATGGTATGGTTTGGTATGGTATGGTATGGTATAGTATGGTATGGTATGGTTTGGTATGGTATGGTATGGTATGGTATGGT